CGACCGTTAGTGCGTGTTCTGGCGGCTTGGCTCATCGTTAATAAGGAAACTAGCCGTTGGGATTTGAATGGATCCTAGCGTCCGGTTCTTGTCATGCAGTTGGGTTCGGTTCATGGTTGCTTCATGAAAAAGGGAAAATTGCACCTAGGCTCCGAATCTTTTCAAAAATTACAAACGTATCCAAAACCTATGACTTTTGGCAGCTGAAGACCTTTAGAAGATTTCTGTTCAAAATTCTATTAGTTCAACCCTTCACCTAATTTTGACATTTTTACTTAACGAAGTTTTGGATGGAAATTGTTCAAAGAGCCTTTGGATCAGAAAATTATTTGGATGTTATGTTACTTTCAATTTAAATAATAATGAAAATTACCAAGTTATCGAGTGATTTGATCTAATTATCCAAGTTGTATGGATATTAAAAATTACAAAAATAATCAATCCACGAATATTAGACAATAATGTGCTTTCTACCCTACGTCCTTGTTTGATTTTCATTATTTTTAAAATACATTTTTTCTTCTTTTCTATTCAATCACACATTCTTTAATAAAGTAATATTACACGTAAATCCAAAATTTTTTTGGGATTTACTTGTACTTTTGAAAATATTAGGACATCCACTGCAATAATTTTTTTTCTTTTTTCTCTTCCGTTTACTGGCAATTATATCATTTTAAATGACCTTAACAGTCAAATTGAACAGATTCTAGCAACGGACAAACCATGTTTATTTCTTCTCTAATTTTGATTCTTTTTGCTTGTAACCGTCCGATCTTACCAAGACACAAATGTATTCGTTGGGAAAAGTTATTGCAGGCACTTCTCATGGATTGAGATTAGTTATTATTATTTTTTTTATATCCAGGTATCCTATCTTACACCAGACTATGTCCTGGACCACCCATCCCTAGCCCCTCAGTGATGGGTGGAGGTTAACCGTGAGATATGCCCAAATTGACCAGGGTCTGTGCACTCTTTATACTCCTGACCCCAAGGGAGCCTTTCT